TAGATGTATGCTGTGTGTCTAAAAACCAAACACACCTCCATGAAAATATATGAACACACTTTCATAAATAGTCCCAAAAGTCAGTGGGATTTACAGCTATGAGCCACAACATTAAAACCACTGACAGGTGGAGTGAATGACATTGATCATCTTGTTATAATGCAGTGTCACATGATCAAGTTAAACCAGATTTATACTCCATCTCTTGACAAAGAGATCTTGACAAAGATCTGCACTTGTGGGATTTTTCAAGTATTTTAAGAGAAAGATGTACTTTGGGTGGAAAAACAAATTTAAAACCACAAGATCCTAGAAATTCATGGACAGAAAGTAGTATTTTTGGAGGAAATAAACCTTTAAAATCCCAAGTATTTGTTGTATTTTGGGTAAAATAAGCATTTAAAACCATAAAATTTCTGGACATTTTAGTTGCAATAAACCTTTAAAATTACAAGTACGTAGACAGAAAGCTGTATTTTGGGCGAAATATGCCTTTAAATTCTAAATATTTGAACAGAAAGTAAGATTTCTGGTCAGAAGACGATCCTTCTGACTTTTTTGGGTTTTAAGCAGGAGGTGTCAGAAAAGTTACCACAGGGATAACTGGCTTGTGGCGGCCAAGCGTTCATAGCGACATCGTTTTTTGATCCTTCGATGTCGGCTCTTCCTATCATTGTGAAGCAGAATTCACCAAGCGCTGGATTGTTCACCCACTAATAGGGAACGTGAGCTGGGTTTAGACCGTCATGAGACGGGTTTGTTTTACCCTACTGATGATGTGTTGTTGCAATAGTAATCCTGCCCAGTACGAGAGGACATGCACTTATTAATGTTACATCCAAAACAATTGTAAGTAATGTGAAAAAAGAAGAAGAAAATAAAACCTGTAATGCAGACTCAGCAGTGTGTAATGTGTGTGAATCGTGTCTACTGCTCATCAGGATGGGAGGTCGCAGGAGACCACATTCGCNCTGAAACATCACAAGCAAGTGTTGGATCTAACTGAGGATTCAAGGACCTGTGACCTGTCAGTTACATCCTCAGCATTCCTTGCTTTGTCTATTTTACTTGAAATTAAGAAAATAGTTTGCAAAGTGAGCACCATGCTGTATTGAAGGAGACCTGTAACTAGCCATTGACACAATAAAGTCATTAGGAAGATGTTTACTGAGCTAACCAATCCAGAGAGAAGTAGGCTCATTTTCTCATAGACTTCTATACAGTCAGACTTCCAGAGGAGTTGCCCCCTACTGGCTGTTAGAAAGAATGCAGGTATGGATCACCTTAGTTGGCTTTGCTTTTAGACCTGGAAGCTACGTCTATCTTTTATAGGCCTATACAGTCTATGGAAGAAACAAATAAAATGTAGGTAAACATGAAAAGTTTAATTGCATTTCCAAACAATGACGAGCATGTGCTATTTAAGCTCGTACTATGCTAATATTTGAGAACAAAAAAGATAAAACCTTTGTCTAGCAATCGTATTTATCTATGACAGAGCCTACTTTGAACAATAAACATCACTGGAACCATTAATGGTATCTAAACAATTGCAAATGTAAACTTGTTTAATAAACATAAATTAAGAAAAATAAAGTTTCAGAAACTTGACATATGACTTGGGTTCTGTTAAACAGTCATACTTTAAAACAAAAAAAAATGTATATAAGAATTTAATACAAGACTGCTTTAGTCTTAACATCTGTCCTAATTCTGTTCATGCTTGTAACTAAACTGGATTTACTCCATGTGTACGGAGCCCATCTGGTGACATCGATAAGAAATAAAAATAACTCGTTCCCACGTATTAGTACATCGTGGCCACGAGTCATTAATACGTGGGAACGACATAATTATTACACGGTGTTTCATCACAAGAGATCGCAGAATATCGGCATAGTTCATTCCAAGGTTAAAATCAAATCAAATCAAATCAAAATGCTCCATGTTTCATGCAAGTACGCCCGTTATCCTTCATCAACAGCTGGTATGACCGCACTGTGAAATTTGCTCCACAACTTCTCTTGTTTCTTCATATTAGTAATACGAGGCCACAATTTAATGATGTCGTTCCCACACATTAATATCTCGTGGCCACGAATTACTAATGCGTGGGAACGAGTTATTTTTATTTCTTATCGATGTCACCAGACGGGCTCCGTACATGTGACAACAATCAAAATGAATTTTATGGTCTCCAAGAATTGCACAATGTAAACAGCATGTAAACAATAAGAAGCTGTATTTAAGAGCTGTAAGAAAAGCAGCAGATTGACTTATTGCAGGGTTTAAACAGAACATAAACATACCAGAACCTACCAGGACTGGTTGCTGGAACACACACCAGTCAGGTCTATGTGTGTGAGTGTGTCTCTAATAATGCCTTATTCACTGCGTAGTCGCTCATCGTGCCTTTTTCTTGTCTGTCTTTGACTCCTTGCTCAGATGAGGGATGGGCAGAATGTAAGGTGAGGCCGCCGTGCTCAGAGAAGGATTACTTCCAGATCCACACAGCCTGCGACAGCGAAGGGAAGGTCAGCAGCACCCGCATGTTTCACATTTCACCTTTTTGCCTGCACAAGGACAGACAGGCTTACTTACAAACACGTATTTAATAAAGTGTAAAACATAAGTTTCATCTCCCAGCACATAGACCAGAAACATGGAGGATGTAAATGAAGTAAATCAGATAAAGAAAGTGAGAAGGGACACATTTTTATTAGTAGAAATGAACAAACGTGATAAATGCTTTTCCTTCCTCTAGCATTTTCAGGTTTCAGTCCAGCGTTGTCAACATGTGTTTACTAGTAAGCAGGTCTTATTGATCAGTGGAGTGGTGGGACACCATTGATAGGGCTGGTTCTCACCCATTTGCATCCTCGTGTGCTTACACTAGTCAAACTAAACAGGGAGCCACTTAGGAAACTGGCTCCACAGAGGTCAACAACTCTCCTGGGAACCTGCAATGTAGATTATAGAGGAGGATGTCACATTTAAACTGATCATACACAGGAAAATGTCTGTCAGCTCTCAGGGCATTATATAAGAAACAAGAGACTCACAATGTGATGAGAAAGGACAGTGATGAATTGCTTTGTGGGCACTTTGCATGTAATCTGATCCTGAACTGACTTCATTGGCGTTCATCCTTGACCTTCACCTGGTTTGATCCACATTTCTGAAAGTGCTGATTAAGAATGATTATTGTTAAGGAACAGAAGATACCTCAGTTGTTGATGGTGGTGTTTGTTGCCCCTAGTCGTATAACCATCTGTGGTTTCTCTGTTCCAGACGCAGGTGCTGTATCGTTGGGTGGAGCCAAAGATTTGTGTGGAGAACATCACGGGGGCCATGGAGCTGCCTGCGACGGGGCAGAGGGAACCCTGCCCTCCCTGCAATCCAGGCTACTACAACAGCAACGACTCCACCTGTCTGCCCTGCCCACCTGGAACCCACTCTGACGGCACCTATGGTAAACCTGCTCATACTGGCTGCTGTGTTGATATAATCACAGCTTTCAGTCTGGAGTCATCAACACGTTGTTCTTCTAATGGTGCTCCACGGTCATACAGCTCCACACAGTCACGTGTGCATCAGTCATAAATTACAAAATAATGCTTTTTTGTAGCACATGCATACAGAGCTGCACATGTACATGTTGTAATTGTTGTATTTAGTGAAAATTTGAAATAAAATGTGACAAAAACAGCATGCAATTCTTACATTTGACACTTAGAAATTAAGCAGATGGTAAACCAGAACATCACCAACATTTTTTCATCTGTTCATTGTGTCATTATCAACATTTCCTGAAAATCTGTTCATGACTTTTCAAGTTATCTTGCTAACAAACCAACCAACCAACCAACCAACCAACAAACAAACAAACAGATAAACGCCGGCTAAAACATAACCTCCTTGGCGGAGGTAATAAATGATCAAGTAATAAAAGCAAAACTCATCATGGTGATGCTGAGGATGCGGAGGCGACAAAGGGAAGTAAAAACACAAGCAACACACAAGAGAAATAGATTTCAAAATGAAACAGAAGGTAACAGAAAAGGGATGTGGAAGGTACACAGACAAACCGGGAGAAACACGAGCAGGAAGTCACAAGAGACGTGGAAGGAAAACACACAGTAAGATTTCTAACAAAACCCAAAGACAACACGTCTCTACATCTGGCCACATAGTGATCGGCCCTATTCACCATCATGAATGAAATCTGATCAAAAGGCAGCCCAACTCAATAATCCACCCCTGAAAAGATGCTTCTTGTGTAAACAGAATGTTATTATAGGAAGGTAAATGAATGCATTGCCTTACCTAAATAAAGCTTTTGTGTTATCCTTGTGTGTCTACCAGCGTGTGTGGAGTGCCCTGCAGGTACAGAGCCAGTGTTAGGTTACGAGTATAAATGGTGGAACGTGCTGCCCTCTAACATGAAGACTTCCTGCTTCAACGTGGGCAACTCCAAATGTGATGACATGAACGGTAAGCACATGAACACTTGTGGTACTGGAAATGTTCACACTGTGCAAACTCATTTACAGCCAAGTTAGAGTCAAATGTGATAGATTTCAATGTACGCAAGGAGAACATGTGTTTCCATACTGTGTGTATTGTCCATCCCATAAGAACGTAGATGTATGCTGTGTGTCTAAAAACCAAACACACCTCCATGAAAATATATGAACACACTTTCATGAATAGTCCCTAAAATCAGTGGGATTTACAGCTATCAGCCACAACATTAAAACCACTGACAGGTGAAGTGAATGACATTGATCATCTTGTTATAATACAGTTTTACATGATCAAGTTAAACCAGATTTATACTCCATCTCTTGACAAAGATCGTGTGTGATATGGTTCACCTACATGCACTTGTTCATGTTACATCCAAAACAATTGTGAGTAATGTGAAAAAATAAAAAACAAATAAAACCTGTAATGCAGACTCAGCAGTGTGTAATGTGTGTGAATCGTGTCTATTGCTCATCAGGATGGGAGGTCGCAGGAGACCACATTCGCAGCGGAGCAGGCAGTTCAGACAATGACTATCTCATCCTCAGCTTGCATGTGCCCGGCTTCAAGTAAGTTTGTTTTGGTAGCTGTGTAGGAAAATCTGTCTGAACAATGTCAAACAGTGTAGTAAGTAGTGTTTGCGTGTAGGCTCATGTTCACCGTGTATCTACTAATGCTCAGCTGGGGTTTGTGTTTCATGGCAGGGTCCCAGCCTCACTTTCAGGGATGACCGGCAGCGAGTTTGGCCGGATAACCTTTGTGTTCGAGACCATCTGCTCTGCCGACTGTGAGCTCTACTTCATGATGGTGTGTGCTTGATCGTGTGTTTGTTTGGAGCAGAGGGTAGAGATTAGGTGACTGATTTCACCACTGAGCCAGAATAGCCAGGCTGTGTCACTGAGGTCCAGTTTATGACAGTGTTGTGCATACTGTTGCTCAGTAACCCATGTTTCTTTGTTTCCCTGGCACGCCCCCTGCAGGATGTGAACAGGAAGAGCACCACGGTGGTGGAGTCCTGGGAGGGCAGTAAGGGCAAACAGTCGTATTTACACAGCATGACTAGAAACGCCTCTGTCACGTATACGTGGGCCTTCCAGAGGACGAACCACGCTCTAGATGTGAGTAAAAACACATTCATGTAATGATCCTCTGCTGTCTGCTGTATACTGCAATATTTATGACTTATAATTTAATACATATTTCAAGACTACACAAAACTTGACAAAAATACTTCTCACAGTACAAAGCACAAAAATATCCACAACAACCTAACAGTACAATAAGACAACATGTTAGCATTTAGCTTCAAGCTGCAAGTACCGAGCTGCTAGCATGGCGCTAATGTTTGTTAATAGCTGTATCTTTCTCAATTTTTTTTTCAAGTTTTGTTTCTAGTTGTCTTCATTTTTGGGCTGTTTAACATAAAAGAACTGAAAATAAATCTGTGACTAATATGTATATAAAACGAAAAAGTAAAAGCATGTAAAAACTCAAGAGAAAGGTAAAAATGAATGCACTTTACCTGAAGAACATATCTCATGTGTAGGTTCGTCGTTACGTCAGTGACATGGTGAAGCTCTACTCCATCAGTGTGACAAACGTTCTGGATGGGGTGGCGTCAGCGTGTCGGGCCTGTGCTCTGGTACCACAGAACTCGCAGCGGGCCGGCTCCTCCTGTGTTCCCTGCCCGGCCGGGTTTTACATCGACAGAGACACAAACCGATGCCAGGAGTGCCCACCCAACACACACCTGGCAGGACGACACACTTACGGCCAGGACGCCTGCGTTGTATGTGGACCTGGAAGCATCAGCAACAAGGTGGAAAGACCTGCTCTCATTCTTCCTCACTCTGGGATAGGATTTTCAGACATTAGTGCCAAAACCTCACCTGAGTTTAGCCACTTGTTCTAATGCATTACTTCAAAAAAGATATAGTAATTTTGCGAAATAGACATCTGATTATGTAACAGAGGAAGCCAATGTTCTAAAATGTCAATCATCTATCTGAACCGTCCAGCAGGTTTGAAAGTCATGTTATCTTTTAAATATCACCAAAGTTAGACCATTTGTCTGAGCCAAAAACCTAAAGAAATCATCTGATTTTCAACTTTCTGATGATCCTTGAACTGCTCATCTGTGACACGTTGGTCTGTTAGAAACATTGACCAAATCTATGCTTTAAATCAGGACATCTATCAAAATCACTTTATTTACATGTTTGTGTGCCAAAAATAAGTCATTTTCTCTAAGTAGGTTCTTTTAAAAATATAAAAATGAAAAATTGCATTCCTTAGTGCAACTGGGAAGCCATTAATGACTCAGTTGCACCTGACAATCATGTGACAAAAACTCTGTGAATTTTGGCTGACCTGGTTTGAGCTGCAGGCTGTGCTCCACAGAGCAAAGAGGAGACAAGTATGGTCAGAAATTTAAAACAGAACAGGATTGCTCAAGCAATCTGACAGTTAGCATTAGTTATCATTATCATTAGCAGTTATTAAAAATTGTCGTCCAATCTGATAGTTTCTGGTGAGTAGTTGAGAGTTCATGTGTTTCCTTTTGTTTCAGGAACATTCGCGTTGCTATAGCGACTGCTCCTTCACCCACACTGACAACAACCGTACGCTGACCTTTGACCTCAGCCCGCTGAGCGACGTGGCCTCGCTGACCATCGGGCCGAGTTTCACTTCTAAAGGCACAAAATATCTTCACCTGTTCAACATCAGCCTGTGTGGCCACGAGGTGATTCACTCATTCCTGATTTCATGTTAGCTATTTGTTAGCATGTTTTAGCGTCAGTCACATTCCTAATATGATATATCATTATATCTTATTGTCCTGTTTTATCCTTAGCCATCTTTTTACCGGATACTTTTTTTTGTTGTTATTTGTAAATTGGTGACATGAGGACTCAGACTGGCTGTTATTTTTATTTTGTTTTAGGAATAAAATAAAATAAAGTGTAAATAGAACTGATTATTATTGTTGGATCCAATTATTATGACTATTATTTTGCATATATTACATTTTTCCTGAAAATGCCAGTATTAAGTCTTTTGGAAAATATTGTGTGACACATTAGACGTATTTAATATTCCAGTAATTTGATAAACTCACAGTTTCGGTATCTTGTCATAAAGGTCCAACAGCGGAAAATGTGAAAACAAATCAGATTTTTTCATGCAGATCTGTCACTTGTTGATAAACATCAAGCGTAACTACAGCAACTGACAGATCATTTTCATGCTGTCCGTACGTGCTTGTCTTCTCAGGGGAGGAGAGCTGCTATCTGCACTGATAATGTCACTGACGTGTCCAGCAAAGACGACCAGAGCGACTCGGCTCAGTTCGTCAACTCGGTGGACAGCTTCATCTGTCAGTCAACCATCATCCCAGCTGATGGGCGGGGCTTCAGGATGGCCATTTCCTCCCAGTCCATCGGCCTCGCAGACACTTTCATCGGTAGGACACTGGTATAACTCGTAGCTGTGTGATAATCAGCTGGTAAAAACCGCTTCAACGTGTCTGTCTTTGTTTTTTAGGAGCTACAGTCGACACCGTTCTCAATGGGGTGAACGCTAAACCTGACCTTTTCCCAGAAAATTCAAAGGACATTCCAGACATCAACTTCTTCTACAGGTACAGACAGAAAGACAGAGGCAGTGATTGCATGTTTCAGTTGTGTTTAAGTCCTAAAAATGTCTTTACTTTTCTTCAGGTCAATGCAGGCAACAGCTTCATGTGATCAGGGTCGGAGTTCAGTCATTACAGTTCGCTGTAACCCAGAGAAATCTGAACGAGGAGAGCTGTCTGTTCCCAGGTGGGTGTCATCATCTGACAGCATTTGATTTTCACTTGTATTACTTTGGCTACATTACTTAAATAAATGAATGAATTTAAGTCTGTTACCAACAGCTATTTTACTTATTTATTAATCTGCTATGTATTTTCTCTTTTGTTCTTTTTAAAAAAACATCCAAAAAGCAACTAACAGTTCAAATCAAAAATACGTATGATAGATGTATATAATTTACATAATTGTCTAATTTATGTAATTATCAGGGAAAGCAGCAAATCTTCACATTTCAGACATTAAAACCATCTAATTTTGGACATTGTGCTTCAAAAATTACAGATTTTTTTTTTTTTTTTTACTAAATTAATTGAATAATCATTGTAGCTTTAAAGTGTATTCTAAACTAAAACTAAACTAGATTATGTATGAAAATGAGAGGAAACTCTGTGTATGGATGTGTGTGTGTTTGCACAGCTCCTGTCCAGCAGGAACATGTGATGGGTGTACGTTTCACTTCCTGTGGGAGAGCGCCAGCGCCTGTCCACGCTGCACTGAGGACGACTACCACCAGATAGAAGGAGCGTGCAAAGGAGGCATCCAGGTAGCAAACACAGAGAATCTGCAGACTTTGTGTTACATTTCTGATAAATCATCTGTGGAGAGTCTGAGATACTCACACTGACTCACACACATGTCACAGTGTTGTATGACAGTACTTGCAGAGGCCTGTTATTGCTGCACTGATACTTGGATTCATTGAGTCAAATTATTGATATGTTGATGTATTACATTTTTCAATTTTTTAGAATAATTAAAGAGCCTGTATGAAACACCAAGGCAGTTACCGAGCCAAATCACAAAAACTATAGTGTGCAAGTGTTAAATTTATTTCTAACATTGTCACTTACAGTAAAATTATCAATTTTAAACTGATTAAATAAAGGATTGAGCTTTATTCTTTCTGTTTGTTGTGCAGATGTCACTGCAGTAGAAAAAAGCTTTTTTTTTCCTCATGTAAAACACAACGAAAAATATCCATCCATCCATTATCTATACACTGTTTAATCCTCACTAGGGTCGTGGGGGGCTGGAGTCTATCCCAGCTGACTCAGGGTGAAGGCAGGGGACACCCTGGACAGGTCACACTTAGAGACAGACAACCAAGCACACTCACATTCACACCTACGGACAATTTAGAATCACCAATTAACCTCAACATGTTTTTGGACTGTGTGGGAGGAAGCTGGAGAACCCAGAGAGAACCCACGCTGCACGGGGAGAACATGCAAACTCCGCACAGAGAGATCCCGGGTGTCCTCACCGGGACACGAACCGGCGACCTTCTTGCTGCGAGGCGACGGTGCTAACCACCGAGTCACCTTGCAGCCCCACACTAAAATCATTTACATCTGTTTACTAAATGAAAGGAAGAACTTTCACAAGGTCACAGTTGCATAAATGAAGTTAGTTAAAATCTTAATGTAATCTAATGTGGGCTTTTATAAATACCGTCATCAACAGGAAACTCTGTACGTGTGGAATGAGCCCAAGTTGTGCACCAAAGGTGTGTCACTGCCTCCTCGAAGCTCCGCCCCCTGCGAGGCCATCGCTCTGTGGCTGAAGGTTGGGGTTGGAGGCGGGGCCTTCGTGGCCGTGCTGCTCATCTCCCTCACCTGCTATTTCTGGAAGAAAAACAAGAGGTGAGAGTCACCGACCACACACAGCATCCGTCTCAATCCAGACCAACATGCTCATTAGGATTACCTTAAATTGTTATTTAAAGGTAAAGATGTCAGCATCTGTGCAAAGGATCACATTCTCTTGAGGCCTACGGGCCGTAATGGCAGGTTCAGCCATGTAAGCAGCAGGAGTCACATCAGGCACTTTTAGTGTCTTGTGTTTTATTCTGTGGTTTCTAAACTTATTGCCTTGAGACCTAAAGTCTAAATCTATTTGTGACCTTTTATGGTGTCTGTTGTCTCAAAACATAACCTGTTGGTAACGAGTCATCTCAGTCATTTTCATCTTAGAATCTCTTGGATTTGTCTTTGTGTAAATCCTACTTTAGAAAAGGAAAAATTGAGGAGCTTCACTTTCATTTTTGTTTTAAATTAAGGAAATAATTACGAAAAAAAAAATAATTTGGCACAAAAGTCATGTTTTGAGGAAGAAAATAATTTTTTTCTTGAATTAAGTCAAATGTTTATGGAAAAAAAAAATTTTTTCTAGAACAAGGTTATAAATGTCAAACATACTTGGTAATATTTCAAAAATAAAAATTTGAAAAATTGCGACACAATTGTAATATTTTCAAGGAGAAAACGTGTTTTTTCTAGAACAAATCCAAATATGTTACATGAAAAAGTGATATTTCAAGACAAAATACATCGTGTACAAAGCGCTGTTTTTCATAATTCACAAAATAAAGTGTAATAACGGTATAAAGGTTTTTTATTACTGGCAAGCACTTCATTGTCATGATGAATGATAATGATGAACATGATGTATGAGTCAATAACTGAATGATACACTGTCTCCTGGTCACTGCTGTCAGGCTGGAATACAAGTACTCGCGTCTGGTGATGTCTGCCAACAAGGAGTGTGAGCTGCCAGCTGCAGACAGCTGTGCCCTGGCTGAAGGAGAGGAGCCTGATGATGATGTGGTCTACTCCCATAAACCCTCCCTGCTGGGCAAACTCCGAGCCATCGCCAACAAGGTGGGTACAAGCTTCTTATGGCAAAGTTTGGTACGCTGCTTCACTCTCATTGACTGTCAGTGTGTAGACTTTCCATGCAGTTCAGTTATAATCCTGTTTGCCCAGCACTGCACAGCAAATAACCTTGTGGCTCATGTATCAGTGCAAAGTCTCCCAAGTCTTTTTTAATCATATACACTGAAGGTGCACCAAAAGCATTATTACAGTCATGACAACAGTATCTCCACCAGTCTTTTGGGTGACATTACTTTCAGATAAGGTTATCACTTGTAGTCACTGTGTATAAAGTGTACTAAAGACTACCAAACTGGATTGTAATTGAAAGAGAGGAGGGGCAGTATCAGTGGACCACAAGTGTCAAACATTTACTTGCAGTGTAGTAACAAATATCATGTCTAACGATCTAAATCTAATAAAGTTCTATCTAATATCTGTGCCTCAGCATGAAGATGGAGAGAGCAGCGAATCAGTGCAGCTCAACTCCTCCCAGTCTGATCGATGGGTCCTGGGATAATCTGATGCCAGCAGACAGAGAGTGAGACCAGAGCTGAGTGACGGAGGAACAGTCTGGCAGTGATAGTGTCACTGTCCACCTCCCTGTGTCCTTCGACCCCCCCTTCACTGTAGGGGAACCACTACAGACCCCAGTGCGGGGACAATCTGGACAATGGCTTTTCCTCCTCGACCCTCGAACACACGGGAGACGCAGTCCTGCTTTAACGCCATGGATGCTCTGCAGCGGAACCTGAAAGAGAAAACATGCTTTTAATGTTTTTTGTATATTTTGTATTTTTATTTGGTATGTTCTGTTCAGAGTCACGTATTTATATCAATGTTATGATGACAATTCTTTATTAAAGTCCTGTTTGGCTTTGGGATCTGTGTGTGTGGATGATTGGAGGAACAAATGTTTACGGTAAACAAGTTTTCATTCTCATTATATAACGTCTTCTGTTGAGGCCAGTTTGCAGACATAACAGGGGTTTGCACATTCTCTGCCTTCAAGCTCCTAAAAGTGCAGCACTGCATACCAGCTTTATTATTGAGCTGCAGGTGTTAGTGCCTGACTTTTTTACTTTAGATCATTTATTTCATGGGAATATATACAATATGCTTTACTAAATTTATGGTTTTGTAGCTACATTTTGACACAGATTTCCTCGACAATCATGCAACAAAAATGCAGTTAAATCACCAAAACCACCAAACATGCAGTGAACCAGATAAGATCAGCACTTTGCCTGATCTTCCATGACCCTACATCTGACATATTGTACATTGTTTTCAAAAACAGTTTATTCAGTGTTGTTATTCTGCAACTATCAGATTTATTAACAATGGATGAATAAGGGTGTTGTTTTGTTTTTTACTGCAGAATGAGTACTTTTACTTTTGATGCCTCAGGAATAAACAGGAGGAATAAATACGTCACCCCAACCTTGTTTCTGTGGCGGTAGAAGAAGTATTCAGATTAAATAACAGTAGTAATACCACAAGACTCTCTTACTTGTACAAGTAATGCATTCAGAGTCTTTCTGAAATAATAAAAGCACTCATTCTGCAGAAACCTCTGTGCCTGATGTATTAATATATTAAATTACCTAATAATCACATTGTTAGTGCTGATGCAACATGTAAGCAGCATTTTACTGCTGAAGTCAAGATTAAGTTAGCTTTTACTCATTTATGTATGCAAACTGATCACTTGATGAATCCAAATAATGAGGGAGGAAGAAAGAAAAAAACGAAAATCTGATAAATGCATTTATGTTCTTTAATATTTCATTTTGTCTGAAAATGGTGGATAGTTGCAGTTCTTCAATTTAAACCACGTGAGAAGTTTAGAGGGGAAATCATTCTTCAGTAAGGACTCATATCTCATATTAAAATGCTAGGAACCTACTGATTTAAGTTGAGTAAGATCCTCTGAAGTGTAGTGAGGGCGCACTGAAAGTTATCAAAACAGCATTTGAGCCCATGAAGATCTCCATTGAAAAAAGTTTAGTTTAAAGGTAAGATTAAATCTATGTCTGGGCAACTCAACTAAACTAATTACTTTTAATTGTGAAGTGAGTGTGGGTGTTTTTGAAGTCAACGGGAGTAAGATAAATAGCTTATGTTGCCAAATTTGTCATCGAGTGTAAAAGTGACGGAGTTTTATTTGAATTATTAACTGAAGTTCAAACTTGTACTTTTAGCAATTTTGCAATGGGACCCTGGACTGTAGTGATGTTGGCTGCAGTACCGCGGGTGACCACTGGGTGAAACTCTCAGCAACACTCACCTGGACTCACTGCAACTATTTGCCTTCATGAATTAACATTGTTGAACCTTAAACTGGTCAAAAACTCCGTGACCTATCTTAAAGCTCACATTTACCCAGTCGGTGTGGGTCTTGGCCCGGCTCGGCTCCATCTCCCCCCCCTTGGACAGTCGACGCCTCCAGTCCGGGACAGTAGCCTGTGAGCTCCGCCTCCTCCAGAGAAAACATCCTCCTCCTCCTCCTGCAGCCATCGACGAAACTTCAAAGCGGACTTCGCAGTTTGCCACCGTCGGATTTGTGTTTTTTGAAAACCGGAGAAGAGGCTCAAGCATGTGAGAGTTTCTGCGGGAGAAGCCTGAGACGATAGCGGGGAGATGAGCTCCACTGGGCTGCCAACGGTAGGAAACTGTTCCCATGATTTTTTAATTTTATTTTTTCAACCTCCTCATTTCTTTTCCGACGGCGTGGAGCTGCAAACAATCACGGCCTGAGCCCCAGAAGCCGCTGACTAAAGTGTTAGCAGATATTAGCATGTTTGCTATCAATAAAGTATAAAACTAGCAGGTTTTAAAAATGGCGCCGGTGCGGTTTTGTTTAGTTTTTTTTTGTCGGTTGTAAGTTTTGTACCAAAGTGAAGTTCAGAGCCGTGACGTTACGTCGGGACGAGGATCCCACTGAGGCTAATTAACAGCAAGTTTTAATCACAAACACATCAAACTGTCTGTTTAAGACAGAGAATCAACTCTAAATGAAATATTGTTAAACTAGACTTTCCACATAAAACGGCCTCCTGTGAGGCTGTGGGCTGGAACCAGTCAGGGGGCCAGATGGAGCCGCTGGAAGTGTCTGGGAGGAACCACAAAGCACGACTTAATACCAGGAATGTGATTATTCTGTTGCAGCATGGAGGCCACTAAAAGCTGTGTCAATAAAAGAGTTAAGAAGTCACATGCTGATACTGATGATCTGATGTGCTAATACAGCTACAGTTAGCATTCAGGTTGTTTAAATGGACACAGGTCAAAACAGTCCAGGAGAAGAGGGACAAAAGTTCACCTCCAGGCAAAACATTCAGGTTATTTACAACTTCAATATTGTAAATTGTCTGTGTGTGATGACAGTCATTCGTAATTACAGCAACTTATGATACAGTTAAATGTGATTTCATGTTATTCAGCTTCCAGTGATTTAGTGCTTTAATCATTAAGGAGGTATGATGATGTCAGTGCTGCAGACATCCTGTTGTAAAATGGAAAAATCTCCCTAATTCAAGAAAACAAAATAAAAAAACAACCTTGACATTACAGAAAAAATGTTACAGTAAAATAACTTTCAGCTGTGATGGAGTTCAGGATTCACCTGTAATAAATGATTTAATTTGGCTCATAAACTGTGACAGCTCACCAGGTGGAGGTGAGAAGAAGTGCACAGTGTGTCCATGTCGGGCTTAATTTATAATTATAATGAATTAATGGAGTTAGTGGTTTGTTGTGTTAAGTGTGAATGGGCACAACTGGGTCTCTTTGAAGACACTCGATTGAATCCTGCTGCTGTTTGAGCCTGCAGGTATTTAATAAAGTCAGAGGAAAGACTCCTACAAAGAAGTGGAAGCAATGAGATTTCAGAAATGGCTGTAACTGAAGGAGGGAAAAGCCTTTTCATATGGTGTAACATGAGCAAAGACAGCCAAATAATTTGTATGTGAACACTCAGTGTCTCCAAAGAAACTAAAAAAAAACCAAACTGTATCTAAGAACTCTTAAATCAGTAAATGGTGTTCTTTCAGATACTCCTCTTGTCGATGAGTCATGGAGAATGAGCTCTGTGCAGGTTTTTCTTTTGGTATCAAGTGACAAAAGTTGTAGCATGATGTGTTGAAAATGAATCTGCTTTACTTTAAGTTACACATCCTGCAGTGTTACTACACATCACACAGCAAACAAGCTGGTGGAGCCAATGTTTTAAAACCACAAACTTTATCAGATAAATGATGTGTGCGGCTGCTCTGTGGTGCGGTGGTATCGTTGCCTCGCAGCAAGAGGGTCGCCAGTTCGCGTCCCGGTGAGGACATCCGTGATCAATCTGTGTGGAGTCTCCATGTTCTCCCCGTGCAGCGTGGGTTCTCTCCGGGTTCTCCGGCTTCCTCCCACACAGTCCAAAAACATGTTGAGGTTAATTGGTGATTCTAAATTGTCTGTAGGTGTGAATGTGAGTGTGCTTGGTTGTCTGTCTCTAAGTGTAGCCCTGTGATAGACTGGTGACCTGTCCAGGGTGTCCCCTGCCTTCACCCTGAATCATCTGGGATAGACTCCAGCCCCCCCATGACCTTAGTGAGGATTAAGCGGTGTATAGATGATGGATGGATGATGTGTGCTTCAATGTCGACTGCATGCTCTGGTCACCTTTTTCCCTTTGCAGTGATTACAAACAGTTCTTGAGTTTGCTCTTCTTAATCATTATTCCTATTATTAAGAACACAATTAATAGGAATAAGAAGACAGATGAAAAGTTGCCACTGCTGCCTTCCTCCATGGAGGCTTGGATTTGTTCTTCTGTTCTGTTTTACAGTGTTTTGGGTTTGTTTTTTTGTTTTTTTTTTCCCTGATCTTTGAGGTAAAGTGAGTGAAGTTTATGAGATTGCACCGCTACACATCAGTGGTGATGCGAGAACAGCATGTGGTATCTTTGGTAAAGTGAATTAGTGATTAATCAGCACATGCATGAATCAGTAACAGCCTAATTTTACACATTAATGCCTCCAAGCCTTCAGAAATACTATTTTTGGGGGAGCTCGTGTCTTATTAAGAGTAACCAAACTCCTCCTGTCTCCTCTGTAGCTCACACACTGCCGTTATTGTCTTCCTTATGTCCTCCAACTGTTGTCTTCTCCCTGTCCTGTCCATGTTCAGTGATTCACATGATCAACAGTGAGAACTTTCCTCCATTTAAACAGGCTGATGACAATCGAACACTCCTGTGAAACTAATTGAAAACAGTAGTTTGTTTGAAACATTAGCACAGTCTACTAATCGATCAGCTCTTGAGTAAATCCATCAAACATGAATCAGCTCTTTTCACAGCTTCTTTCTTTCATTGCTTCAAAAACCAAAAGCAGGTAACTCTCAGCCATGTCTATGCACTAAAATTAAAACAACAGTTACACTTAGCTGAATATATTTAAGGTAATTAATTTATTCAAAAGTTACACAAATATAAATGAAGACTTTGACCTCTAGATAAAGAATATATAGTGTGGCTTAATAGTAACTGAAAATACTCCCCAGTATTACTGATGGAGTGAGGAACCTTAAACCCTGGCTGTGTCGTCTGTCCCTACTGGCTGTGACGTTTAAAGTATTTCCTCTGAGTAATGTCACTTCCCACTCCCGTGTTGTGAATTTTGATGTCAGAGTAACCAGGGAGAACACTTTACCAGCACTCAGAACCAGATTTAGAAAAACAAATGCTTGTTGTATTAACAGGGTGTATTCTTTGTGTGTCACAGGTACATTACTAGAGCGTCTTTGTTCTCCTGCTTGTTGAAGTGGTAAGTTTATCTCCTCTTTGTTGTGATGCGGTTTGAGGCGAGACGCTGCAGGCAACAACATGTTTATTATTAACGCGCTGATTAATTTTGTGATTTTATGCTATTGTGCTTCCGTAGCATGTTGTTGAAAACGTCCAAAATATACATGAAGGTGTTTATTTTACGAAACGTTGATGCAAATTAGTGTATTTTATGTATGTTTATTATTTATGCCTCCTTTACATATTTCAGCATATTTCAGAAAAGCTGTAAGGCAGAAATTAATTCTCTTTATATAAGTCATCAAATGTTAAGTTTCATTTAGTTCAAATATTATGTGTTAATAGTGGTTTTGATTAGAAATATACTGCATTTTTTAAAAGACTCTGAGCCATAAATCTCCACTTCAGCCATATTTAAATACGCCAAACTTTCCGGTTTCAGTATTCTGAAGGTTTTTGCAAAGAGGTTTGGTTGTATATCAGTTCTAGCCTCATTTATACAGTGGTGGAAGAACGTTTTAGATCCTTTATTGAAGTGAAAGCACCAACACAGGGATACAACAATCTTGCATGAAAGAATCCCACTTAAAGAAAAGTACATAAGCAACAAAATGTAGTCAAAACTTTAAAGTAAAAGTTCTGGTTCTGTCCCTCTGATTGATATATTATTACATATGACATGATTAGATTATTAATGCAGCATCATTTTACTTTAAAACACTGGTACAGGTAAAGCTATAGGTTGAAGATGTCACCTTATTCAGCCGTCCTCTCAGTGTGACTGTTTACAACTAATGTGACATAACTGGCATCAGAGTGGTTTGTGAAAAAACTCCAATTGTAGTCATTTATTTTAATGTCAACAGAACAGACTGTATGCAAAAAAAAGTTCAAATTAGTGCTGAAATTCTGCATATCATGGCTTTACTCCAGAACATTCCCCAAAGTTGACTAACCAGAGTCAATAACAGTAACAGAAAATCTCAAAGATGGAGTGAAACAGGGCAAAGCAGCATGAAGAAGTTTCCTCTCGGAGACGTACCCTTACTCTCATCTTTTGTGCTCACATGAAAGACATTTTCAACCAATAGCTGTCAAAATGAAATGTTTTCAGCTGATCGCTTATGTTATGACACCTATTTTTTGTATCACAGTTCTTCTGAAAAGGGAGAGGGAAGTTTGCATATCTCCATTTCTCACTCCATAAATCAAAATAATGTGAACTGGCAGAGGGGGAAAAAAATGATTGCCACATATTTCAGACACAAAATTCTCTAAAATCCCAAAAAATAACTAAGCACGTTTGCTCAAGTAGTGTACTTAAAAATCATTTTAATTTACTTGTACCAGTGTTTTTACGTGAAATGATGCTGCATTAATAATCTAATCATGACATATGCAATAATCTATCAGTCAGAGGGACCGAGACAGGACTTTTACTTTCAAATTTTGACTACATTTTGCTGCTTATGTACTTTTCTTTAAGTACTATTTTTTTCATGCAGGATTGTTGCATCGCTGTGTTGGTGCTTTCACTTCAATAAAGGATCTAAACCATTCTTCAGTGCGAAAGACTTCATCATTCAGTTCTATGTGTTATTAAACCATGATATTATCTTTAATGTTTTTTACAGTAACTCTCGGTTCAATCATGGCTCGCGGCTGCATCTGCTGTGTGAAATACATGCTCTTCCTCTTCAACCTCCTCTTCTGGGTAATTGCGCCACACTCACCGAGTCTCAACAGTGTTGTCTAGATGTTTGCATGAATCAGCAGTGAGATCAGAACACCAGTTTAAACACTTGACTATCGTTAAATCAGCAGGAAGTGTCTGAGTTTCCTGTGTGTGTTTCAGCTGGGTGGCTGTGGACTGTTGGGTGTCGGCGTTTGGCTGTCGGTTTCTCAGGGCAGCTTTGCCACCCTGTCGCCCTCCTTCCCGTCGCTCTCCGCCGCCAACCTCATCATCACCCTCGGCACTGTCGTCATGGTGACAGGTTTCCTGGGTTGCCTGGGTGCCATCAAGGAGAACAAGTGCCTGCTGCTGAGCGTGAGTACGCTTAAATACCAACTGATTAGGTTGCACCAACAACGCTTAATTGATGGTGGGATTAACGATAATTGGAGTTTAGGTTGAACTCTAAGCAGTTTTTGCACATTTTAACTGTGTCATACTGCAGAAGGTTGCCGGTTCGCAGGCACCGGGATCTTTCTGCGTGGAGTTTGCATGTTCTCCCCGTGCAGCGTGGGTTCTCTCCAGGTTCTCCGGCTTCCTCCCACAAGTCCAAAAACATGTTGAGGTTAATTGGTGATTCTAAATTGTCCGTAGGTCTGAATGTGAGTGTGCTTGGTTGTCTGTCTCTAAGTGTGGCCCTGTGATAGACTGGTGACCTGTCCAGGGTGTCCCCTGCCTTCACCCTGAGTCGGCTGGGATAGACTCCAGCCCCTCACGACCCTGGTGAGGATTGAGCGGTGTATAGATAATGAATGAATGGATGGATGGATGGATAGATGGTGCAACCCAGCAACATTGCATTTCATTGTCAGTTTTATTTCACTTCTGTTGTGTTCAAATGGAATGGGAATTATGAGTACTTGAACAACTTTAGAGCAAAATCCTAGCATTAAACCACACACTCATCTTTGAGCAGGGAGGTTATATTTATGTTTTGTATTATCACAAAGCAACATTTGTGCTTTAAAGATGTGTCTACTCATGTTTATGCTTTTTTAATGCGATTATCTGACACTTTCATTCTTTTATCAGTTCTTCATCGTTCTGTTGATCATCCTCTTGGCCGAACTCATCCTCCTCATCCTCTTCTTTGTGTACACCGACAAGGTAAGACTGCGCTAAGGAACGTTCACATTTATCAATGATCCTCTCCTTCTGTAGCTCAGCGTGCCTACATGTCCCATAATGCACTGCTCTACCTCTGTCTGCCCAGGTGAGTGAAAATGCCAGACGGGACCTAAAAGAAGGTCTGGTTCTGTACAACACGGACAACAACGCTGGCCTGAGGGATGCATGGAACACGATTCAGGGAGAGGTACATTAAACACACATCACATTAAAGGAGAGTCGCAGGTTCACTCTCTTGTTTTGTTGCATTTTGTGTTCCTAGTTTTTGCCATTTCATAGTTTATCAAGTGCTTTTACTCTGTTTAATCCAATTTCAACTTTATTATCTTCCCAAAGTACACTTCCCTCAGCTTTAGGCCAGTTATGCATCTCAAAATGATTGACCCGTTTCTTCTGTCCTGCATGTTTTCCAGTGGAGGTGTTGTGGCGTGATGAACCACAATGATTGGTACACTGCCCTGCATGAAAACGTGGTTCCTGACCGCTGCTGCCAGCAGATTTTCCCGGGCTGTGGACGCAATGCTTCCAATGCCTTCTGGACACGGGTTAGTCATGACGTTAGATGTCTGGTGATGTTCTGTCATCATCTTATTGTCACTAATCTCATGAAAAGGCCAAAAACAACAATAAATTAGCATTAAGTGTTGTTTAGAGATCCAAAACCTGGCAGACTGCGTGCCAACTATTGTTGCCCAAAACATAGAAATTCGCTACTAGGGCTGCAACTAATGACTATTTGAGTTGTTGATTCATTTGTTGGTCAGTGAATGTTTCCCAAAGTCCATAAATATATCCTCAAATGTCTTGTTTTATCCACAACTCAAAGATGGTAAAAAACAACAACAAAAAACTGATATATGCAGATTTTAGAAGCTGCAATCACATAATTTAACAAAGGGGGGAGTTGAAGAAGTGACACCAATTAGCAAAATATAGAAATTCATCCATTGTTGCATCTTTAATGGCACACTGTAATGTACTCAGTGGATTCCACATAGACCACCCTGCTGCCAGAGGTGCCAAATGTACATCATCCCACTGCTGAAAATAGCTCCCAAAAATGGAGTGGTTCTTTTTGTTTGCTAAAATCTATACTGCCATCTGTTTGGGGGGGAAAAACAACAATTTGTATATATTTATGTTTTTAAACTTTAATTTTTAGTGACACCCAGAAAAGTTAAGAGTATTAGAAGACAAATACATTTTTGTGGTATTAACTGACATGACTCTGTTAAGTATTTAAATCTAGTTTTACAGTTAAAATCCATGACACGTTCCATCAGCCTCCACAGTGACATACAGCTCCAGTTATTTATCATCATCCCTATGACAAATAACAGCATTTGTTTAAGTGGGAAAACCTGTTGCTATCTGTGGACATTTTCAGTCATCCAGGTCAGGGGATAAGTGCTGAAACAAAGGCAGCTAGACTTTCTAGAAGACTTCTCATCTATAAGGTTTCTTTTCTGGTGGAGAGTCCCAGAGTTGTTGAGGTCACATGAGGTCAACTTTGTGAAGACGGCTCACAGGACTGTGTTGCCAGTGCATCGTGATAAGTGATGTCCTGGTCTGGCCCCTCTGTTTAGTGATGGTTCTTTGAATTTGATGTCGATGGTTGGAAAGAGGAGTCAGTCTTCTCTGGCCAAATGTCTCCACTGCTGTCCTCAAATGATTTATGTCCTCAATGCATTAATTGCTTACCAAACTACCAATAGAAGGAGAGATGCAACAGGAAAGCGTGCGGTCGATTAGGACCACTGAGCAACTGGTCCGGACCAGTTGACAGCACCACGGTCAGTGGATCAACTGGACAGAGCAACTGAACTGGCCACAGTCCATCTTCATCTGAAGAATAAGGGACACTCATTTGAGGACAGCAGTGTTCACAGCTTGGCCAGAGAAGACCAAATGGTTCAAAAGAGGAGGAAAATATACATCAAACTGGAAAGGCCATCAATAAACAGAGGAGGGAGCTACGACACCACTGATCATTTACTTGTAAAAAGACGTCTTGAGATCCCTCCTCAGGCAGCTACACATCCAACATCACACCTCCACTCACGAGAACCTAAAGGAACAAAAGAAAAAGTGGAGGATAAACAACAAATACACACTCACCTGCAACAGCTCTTCCATAAAGTCTTTACATGGTGTTACTTTTACAATCAGCCACCATGACCTCAATATTAAACCAATTATCAGCTATGTGGTGACAAAAGGTTAAAATGTAGAAGTTCCAAAAAAAGTAGAATTTACGGCGAAGCTGTCGCTGTAGATTTTACAAGTGTATGTAATAGTTTTACATCCATGTAGTCAGATCATTATACACAGTGGCCTACCAGCTACTTGTAACAGTACGTTCTCCTGCGTCATGTTGTCTGGAATGCAGCATTTAATTACGTTTGACGTTTAACCTTTTTCGAAAAAGTTTGTCCTCAATAAATCCATATGAAAGCAGCAGTAGCTTGATGGCTTTTGACTGGATGCCTTCTGATGATCTAATTGTTGCTGTGTGTTTTCAGGGTTGCTATGAGAAGGTAGAGGAGTGGCTGGATGACAACAAGCACCTTCTGGGAACCATCGCTATGTGTGTGTTAGTCATACAGGTGAGCAGCTGTTTACTGTCACACACATAAATCCTTGTGTATTCACTAAACAGCACTAAACAACTTTCTTTGTTTTTGTTTTTTCTTTGTCACCAGCTGCTTGGTATGGCTTTCTCCATGACGCTTTACCAACAGATCCACCGAGCAGGGAAGAAGTATGAAGCTTGAGAGGATTAACGTTTCAAACACTTAAGCCTGGGTACATAAAATATCACCTGCGTTCTTTTGTAGTAAAAAAAAATAAGTCAGTTATCACGTGTGCCACTACAGCCTTTTATCCTGCATTTTTTGTCCCTTCTTGCACCCAGTTATTGTTGTGAATAGCATTTTAAACTAGTTTTTTATGGGTAGTGTTTGTTTTTTTTGGTTATTATCACTATAATATGTAAAATGATCTGATGAGGATTGCTCTGTGACAGTCAGAATGGAGAGAAAAGACTGAAGCCTAGTCTACATGTACGTTGCTATTTTTACTTCAGTGCCTTCAAGAGCATGTCAAAGCAACAAGTGGTGATATCACAACAACTGTAAAGCCCCGCTGGCCAATCAGAAGCCTGAGAAAAGGTCATACTAGGTCCAGCAGGCTGCCAACAATGGGGCATCAAGTAAACAGGAAATCATATGTGTAAACAGGTTTCAAGTCCTGTTAGCAGCGTCAGCACCAGCACTACTTCAGCCATATCCGCCACTGCATGTAAACAAAGGAGATAACGTTGCACACTCTGATGTCACAAGGCAGACACGCAAATCTGCATTTGCATGTAAAAAAAAAAAAGGTCAAAACATATTTTTTAAAAATGCCAATGTACATGTGGATAAGGTGTGAAAATAAATAATCCAGTTGTTAAGAGCCATGCCTGTGGAAAAACAAAAAACATTAAAATAAAACAAGCATTGTGTACTAACATGTTCAATAAAGCCAGAGAGCACTATTCATTTATGAACACTCTGTTTCTGTTGTGTGATCATTACTGGCTCACTTCTGTGTTAGTTTGTTGCTGCAGTCTCTACTTTTCTTTTTAGATATTTGCTTTCTTTTATAAGCTACTGATTTGATCATCTGATTCTGCGGTGATTCACTGACAGGAGGAGGGATCTGATCTGTACTACAAACAGTGGTGAACATTTATGAGCGTTGGTCCACAGGGTTTGTTAATACTGCTCAGGTAGTAACAGGGACTCTCTGGCCTCAGGCACACATTGGTGATTTTTTTTGTACTTTGTAGTTTAATCTCCTGTCTTGCTGTTATTATTGGTACATCTAAACCATAAAGATGGAAGATATGACGGGTCAGAGGACAGCAGAAATTATTGTTTCTGTCTTGTGATGTAATTTACGACCAGAGTTTGTGCAGTAGTGGCAGGCGAGGAGCTTAGATGTGCACGATAACTTGACCGAACAATTGAAGGCTGCTACCCTCGTTAGTTGGCACAACAAGTACCAGCCGGTTAAATTTTATAGATTTTATTGAGCACTTAGCACAGGTATGTGGACATTCACCTACAAGGTATTTTAAATTTTAACTTGTAATTGACTTGAGTTGCCATGTTTTGAAGAATAATTTGCAGTGCATATGTAGAGTGCAAAGTTCCATATATAGTTGAAACCAGAAGTTTACATATACTGTATAAAAGCCATAAAACCTTTTTTTCCTCATTGTCTGACATTAAACTTTTCCTGTTTTAGGTCAGTTAGGATTATTAAAATTATTTCTATTTGCTAAACACCAGAATAATGAGAGATTTTTTTTTATTACTTTTTTCAAAGTCAGAAGTTTACATACACTAAGATTACTGTGCCTTTAAATGACTAAATTTAAAATACTATGATTCCTAAATAATGCTTACCTTCAGGCTTTAACAAAGAGGCATATATTTTCTACCACAGCTCTGAATGTTTTCAAGCTCCCACTTCACACACTCTGCCAGCAGAGCTGCCAAGAAGAGGACTGAGCCAAGCCAGCTCACCGGTTTCCCTTTTTTTTTATCAGAGATGTATTCCTATGAAATCTGAGCTGAATATGTGCTGCAGTAATCAGTCACTCACCTGAATCAGCAGGGAGTTCTTATGTAATTACAAGTCCACGGTTTTGTCGTTATCATGGACAACGTTCCCTTTGATGATGACGTAACGGATGATCTCCTGATGTCCTCCCAGCTGGTAAATCAGATGCTCCCATCTGCAGTTAAACACAGGATCTGTTTTACACATGAATGTTTTTATAAAAGCACATAATATGCATTTAGAAACCGTTAACTACACGCTACAAGCATGTCGCATTGGTTAAAGCTTACATTCAGCAAACACTGAGTGAACTCCATCACATTTTTATTCAACAAAACATCTTACAAAGTGTGTAGTGTTCAGTGTTTCTGATCAGAAATCACTCAGGATGTGTCCTCATTCAACCTGGCTGCTAAAATTATGGTTTTTAAACATGAAATCATCCAGTAGTATAAAAAGCTTTGCAGCCAAAAGCAGCTACAAAAGGCCAGCAATGAATTAGATTAAATGTGATTAAAGGAAAATGTCAGCTTTCATCTGTTCAATATTTATCGCGTGTTTTCTGAAAACACAAGTTCTTTCCATACTTGAAAGGTCACAAGACAAATAACCGACGGCTGAGCTTTAAATACACTCAAACTGTTGTTTCTATGACACAAGACGCTTGTTTTTGTCCATAACAACACAAAATTGGCAGCATCCTTGTTGACATTCAGAGCCTCCCTCATGAGTTTTAATATTTTATTTTTACTGTTTTCTGCTCGAGAGCAAAGCATAAATCAATGGAACCAAACAGGCAGGTGATCAAAGGTAACATCTACAGCTCACCAGTTGTTAGCTTCAGGTTCAGGTCATTTAAGGTTTATTTCAATCCCAGCAAGAGAGGAAAGTATAAAACAAAGAGATGCAGTAGTGGTATTTGTACCAGGCATGGTTCTCCAGTCACTGATCATGACTTTGTCGCTGCAGTTCCTCAATCAGTGTAGCTGACTTCTACATGAAATGTTTCTTTTACACTTCAGATTACTGATACTGATCCATAAACACATGGACAGAACATAAACATCTTCCTGCTAAAGCTTGACATCTTTATGTGTTGTGTTGATTTACCGCGTGGTGTTGAGGATCAGCAGGTCTCCGTGTTTGTTGACCTCCAGAGACCCGTGTGTGTGGGAGCACCCGAGGGCGAAGGCTGCGTTGATGGTGGCCGCAGCCAGAGCCTCAGGCATGGACATCCTCATGTTGACACAGGCCAGGTGCATGACTATCGGCTGAAGGAGGACACACAGGAGAGAGAGAGACAGACAGAGAGGGGGCTGGTATGACAGAGGCAGGAGAAGACAGATGGGTTTTCAAACTCTCCACTCCTCCAGTCCTCACCATGGAGCAGCAGTAGGCGTTGGGGTTGAAGTCGCTGCCGAGGGCAACGACAACTCCAGCATCCAGCATGTCTCTGGCTCGTGGCTGGGG